AAGTTGTAGATGATATCTATTCATTATATTAATTTTTAACTTATAAATTAATTACAGTCAATTCTTATTATAACAAACTCTATATCCTTCACTATAAGACTATAGTAAAGATTTTAAGAGATTTGATTAGTCAATTTGCTATAATAAGAGTATTTTTATTATATTTGTTCAAAAAATTCATTATATTAAGAGTTTACTATATCAAGAATTGATTGTAATATACTGAAGGATAACAAAAATATTGTGCAGTCAAAAATTAGATAATTTTGTAAATTTTAATAAATAACTAATTTTGAAAAAATTTTTACTTTCAATTTTTTGCATTTTATTAATTTTCGTTAAAGGATCAGCTTATTAGCTTTTTATATATTTTTATTAATTAATAAGCTGCAAATAACCACATAAGGTCAGTCAATAACATCTTATATAATTTATGATTTCTGAGTTGCTGGATCCAATTTTTTTTGTTATAATAATAGCCATTTTAGACTATTAACAAAAATATAATATGCAATATTAAAAAATAGAGATTTTTTAAAATTTAATTTTAAGAATTGTAATATATTAAATTAAATAATTAATAAAATATTTCATTATTATAATAGATATTTAAAAAGTTTTTAATAAAATATAATTCAATTACAAATAAAAAATTTATTCAATATTTTATTCTTAATTGTGTAATATTTTTATTACCCTTTGGTAATTATTATTATTAATATAAAATAAAAATATATAAAAATATATTATAAAGTAATATAATAATAATTTTACCTTAAATTTAAAACCTTTATTAATTGCATTATTTAGTGGTTGTAATTCTATTTGAAATTACAGCAATATTTGTATTTTTTTTTACTAATCTATTTTTAACAAAACTTACAGCATGCTTATAAAAAGAATCTAATATCAAGATTATGAATTACTAAAAGGATTTCTTGAAGTTCAAACAGTTTTAATCATAATATTTTCTATTCATTTATCTATTCTTTTTTATTAATTCTTATATAAGATAATTGCTTAATCAAAGTAAGAAAGTGAGTATAAAAAAACATTTTGTTGAAAATTGCAAACAGGAATCCTTGAACTTTTGAGTGCAGAATAGCCCTCTAGGCTGTTTTAATGTTAAAAGTTCATTGCTAAGAATGAAAAATAGCTGTATAGTTGCTTAATAAATATAAGAAAGTGAGTATAAAAAAGCTTTTTGTTAGAAATTGCAGGTAAAGAATGGATTGCTTGGATCTTTAGGATTCTTGTCATTCAAAGGCAGTAGGGTACAAAGTGATCTTTGGAGTTGTCTGACATTTAAGATTTTGAATTGACCCAGATCAAGCAAATTATTACTGACATATAAATAACACAATACTAATTAAAAGTATTTTTTAAAATAGGATGAAAATAAAATAATTGCATGAAAATAGAAAAAAGAATTTTTTTGTAAACAGATTTATGTAAATCTTACAGAAATTGTGAACAACGAAACTATCTATAGCAAAATTGTTGACAAGCTTTCCTCTTCTAGAAATGAGAAGAATAAATTATACTGAATTACTGGATTCTAATAACGAGGGTAAATAACAGAAGATGAGCAATACTAACATATTTAAGTTATTTTGAATTTCAAATTCTCAATCTTTTACAATCTTTGATTCAAGTAAAAATACAATCTATACAATCTACAAATGTTTTTGAAGAAGCTGAATTTTAAGAAAGTATGAACACAAGTTTGAGTAATGATGATGATAATGGTGTAAGTTAACCTTTATAGTTTATTTTTTTTATAAGAGCTCTAAATAATTATTGTTATCTATTAGCTTAAGACATTACCTCTGAGACCCTTTAAAAAAACTAAAGAAATCATTATCTCACGACTAATACTTAATGAACATTTTTTTCAATACTTGTTAAAGCATGTATTAGTGAATATTAACAAATAAGGTTTGATCAAGAAGGTTAATTAAGTTGCCATAATTCCTATAATTTTTGATGAAATTTATAAATAGCTCATAAATACACTATTGGTAAGTTAGCATAAGTCTTTTAGACATTAGTTTAAAGGCGTATATTAAAGATCTCTTTTTTAGTCTAAAAAGGATAAATAACACTTACGTTCACCAAACACATTATAGATGTACTTACAGCTCAAGATTGAGTCTAGATTCCAAAATTAATTACGAAATAAAAAGCTATTAAGATATATTTTCACTAGTAATTCTTTATACAATATAATGAAAATGAAGTAATACCATCGAAATTCTTTTGCTATTGTAATTATGAGAGGAAATTTGAAAGCAACATTAACTAGCAGTAAAGAAAGGTCAGAAGAAAAACAAAAGCAGAAAAAGAAAAGATAGAGGAAAACTAAGTTTCTCAAAATTTACATAGAAAGAAGAATTGCCTGAACGTCTCTTTATTAGTATATAACCTATAAAAATAAATATGTACAAAGATATCAATAATGAAGACGTATACACGTAGAAAAAATTTTATTAGCTAAATTGAGCAGACATATGCTTAACAAATTCAGTTCTCATCTTATTGAGATAGTTAAAAACTTTTAAGCAAAGACGTTTATTTAATAAAACATTATATATTAAAAATAATATTATTAGTGGCTAGTAATTTCCTTAGCAAAAAAAAATTCTCAAAAAAAAGTTAAAAGCAAAGCATTTGAGCAGTTATTCGTTAAAATATTATCTGGTAAAATTATAATAATATTTATTGAATTTACTTCATTTTTATTCTGAGATTCAATTATTAACTCACAAATATAAATGATAATTGGATTACTTTTGAACGAAGAAATTTCGAAAATAAATATTCTTGCGGTTAGAAAAGAATTACTCTTAAAGTTCTTGACATATAAAAATAAATATTTAGTTTAACTTTGACATATATAAATTCTTTAAGTTTATAACAAAATGAATATTCAAGTATAATTTTATTGCTTTTTAAAAAAAAAAATTATTTTGTCGTTATTTACTTATTTATATTTCTTTAAATTGTCAAAAATAAATTGCCCGAAGATGATTATGGATTTATGAATTTGTAAACAATTCTGAAATTTATTCAACACTGATTATTGATGTTACTAAATATACTCATGAAGTGATTTAGATACCAAGTTTTATTTTAAAGTTTAGTTGGTTTAAATAATTTAGATAGGGTTATAAAGGGAGAATCTGATGCTGGTGAATTTTAGATTCGCCAAACGGATTATTTATCTTCTCTCAAGTTTTAGTTTATAATATTTAGTTGTAGTATTTAAATCAGATTAAATCAGATTTTAAAGTAATGTTTATTAAGTATTTTTTTAAAAAAAAATGTGTTTTTTACATTACTTTTAAAATCAAAATAAAAATTATATCATCTAATAAAAATTTCCATAAAAAATAATGTCATTGATTTTTTAAAATTATGGGTCAACTGATTAGGTCATACAAACTCATGTCAACAATTATTTAATTAGTTAGAGCCTAATCGTTCAATTTTTTTTTCAAATTTTGTCAGTAAAAATACATAATTATTTTAATCTTGAATCTACTTATTAGGGTATTATAGATTTTCTGAATAGTTATGATCTAGAGCTATTTGGTAAAAAACTAGACTATTACATTACAAACCTTAAATTTATTGCTAATCAATATAAAGAAGTGAGTATAAAAAAACTTTTTGTTAGAAATTGTGGGTAGGGAATGGTTTACTTGATTCTGCAGTATTAGCCTTTAGGGTTATTTTAACGTTAAAAGCTTTGGGCTGACCTGATACTGGCCTCGTTAGGTTGTTCTAATGTTTTTGAGCTGACCTTACGAATGGGAGGTTAAGCAAATTATTACTGATATATAAAATGACACAATACTAATCAAAAATATTCTTTATACTAGGGTGAAGGTAAAATAATTGCACAAAAATGGGAAAAGAACTGTCTTGCAATGTAGATTTTACGAAAATTACACATGGTAAAATTGTTAGTAAGCTTTCCTTTTTCAGAATGTTGCTTAGAAAAAGTAGCAGAATAATTTATACTGAATTTTTATCATTAGAAGCAGAGACGGATTTTGATAATATCATACCCAAGTACATATCTAAAAAAATGAAGCCTTCTTTCAATTTTTTATATAATAATTCTGAAGAAGGCTTCATATCATACCTGAGTACATATCTAGAAAGGATAAATCTTCTTCCAATATTTTATATAATGATTCTGAAGAAGACTTATCCTCAGATGTATTAAGAGTAAACAAAAAAAGTGAGCAATACTAACGTATTTAAATTACTTTGAATTTCAATTTCTCAATCTTTTACAATCTTTGATCCAGGTAAAAATACGATCTACTCAATATACAAATATTTCTGAAGAAGCTGAATTTCAAGAAATTGTGAACACAAGTTTGAGTGATGGTATAAGTTGACCTATATAGTCTATTTTCTTTAAGAGCTCTAAGTAATTGTTGTTATCTATTAGCTGAAGACACCACCTCTGAGACCCTTTAAAAAACTAAAAAAATTACCATCCCAAAAAAGCTAAAGCTTATTGAACGTTCTTTTTAATACTTGTCTAAGCATATATTTGTGAACGTTAACGAACAAGGTTTGGTCAATAAGGTTGATCAAGTTGCTATAATTCCTATAATTTCTGATGAAATTCATAACTGGCTCATAAACGTACTATCGGTAAATTAGCATAAGCCTTTTTTCAGATATAGGTGTAAGGGCATATATTGACGACCTCTCTTAACCTCTCTTTTAGTCTAAAAAGGATAAGTTCATTAGTGCTATAATGGATCCACTAATTCCTGAACATCGATTTCAAAAGATATAGGAGGCGGTCAATAAAAAAGGAGGAAAATCTACAAATAATAAAATTTTTGACTAAAAAGTGAATCTCCTCCTTTTCTACTGACTGTCTCCCATATACAAGATAATTCTTTATGACTTGCGAGTATATATATTATCCAGGACTATATATAACTACTTCTTAAAACAACAAATTAATCTCAATGCTTGAACTCAGTTTTTTTATGACTAGCGAAGGTTCAATGGATCGTTATACCGGGGAGAGAAAATACATCGTAAAACAAATTATGTTGCAAATATTACCTTCTTGACCCACCTCGTGTTATCATCTTGACCAGCATATATTGTATTACATATAGCAGGGTCAAGAAAGGATGTCGTACAGGGTCAAGAAGGTAATTTTTGCAATTGTGCCATTGTTTAAGGCAATACATTCCGTTTACAGAGAGAACAAATTTGAACTTAAATGTATCAAGGATATGAAATTGTTGTTCTCGAATTTCGATTTGACACTAAACAAGGCAGATGGTTTCTGCATGAAAGCTTCAAGCAACAAGGAAATAATATTTATTGAGGTTTCTGAAGCTCCTAGCAACATAAACCAGCAGAAAAAAAAAGATCGGAAGAAAAACAAAGGTTCCAAAAGCAGAAAAAGTAAAGATAAAGGAAAACGGAGCTTCTCTAAACTTACGACAGAGAGAAGGATTGCCGGGCATCTTTTATTAGTAGAAACAAATATGTACAAAGATATCAATAATCAAGATGCATGCACGTAGAAGAAAAGCTATCTAAACTCGAAGATGCATTGAAGAGCTTATTATGATTTTCTACAGCTTTATCCGAAGAACCAGAAAATAATATTGTTGAAGACGAACAAGAAGTCGATGAAGATGTAGATGTAGAAGAAAAAAATTGATAATAAAAAAAATAGTAATTTCAGATGAAGAATTTGTTAAAAATGACGACCTTTTGCCGATATAATATAAAGAACTATTATTAACGGTTTTTTTTTCAAACGTTTAAGCAAATATTTTGTCAATAATATCAAACAGTATAGAACTCAGTGTATCACATGATTATAATATGAACAATATATATAAAATTATACAAACTACTTGTAGAATCAAACATGATTGGTTAAAGTTTTGAAACAAATTGGAAACAGGGCTTATAGGACTCTTATAGGTCTCAAGCTTAATTTTATTTAAATTTGGACAAAACCAATTAAGTTTAGCACATAGTTAAAGATCGTTTTTTTGACGATTTTTAATTGACCATAATAAAGTGGTTTAAATGTAGCAAGCGTCGCCAATTATTTTTATTTATTTTAAAAAAAATACGTTATGTATTAAGTATTTAAAATATTTTGATGACTTTTTGTTAATTTAGCATTAAATCTACTATTTTTATTTTGAATGAGAATTTTTTAAAATTTTACGATCAATTGTAAATGGAAAAAATCTTTATTATTCGGATCTTTTCTCACTGATCCATTTTATAATGCTGGTCAGCATTATTAACGATCTTTTGGGAAAGGACAAAGAAAAAATAAATACACGTGTTTTCGAATGAACTGTTAAATAAAAGACAACAAATTTGCTCAGATCAAACAACATTTATATCAATTATAAGACTTCCATTATGAAGATACATAATTACAGGAAAAATATATACATTAAAAAAAAAAAAAAAAAAAAAAATAATTAAATAAAAAATAATAAATAAATAATAATCAAATAAAATTTACTCGATTACTTTTGGTCTCATCATCGACAAACTGCCGGAGTTAATGTCACTCTTATTACACCATCAACATCTACTTGACTTGGTTTTCCTAATTTTGCTTTTTCCTCTGGTCTATAATGAACAGATCCGGCTACAGAATTGGTCGATGATGAGTTTCTAGCTAAATATTTTTGCCTATTCTCTTTTTGTGATTCTGAATTAGTTTCACTTGAACGTCCGAGAAAATTAGAATTTAAAGGGACACCAATACTAGGATTAGAATTCGTGATACTAGAAGAGGAAGCAGCAGTCGTTACAACTGTAGAAGTGTTTGTAATTAGAGCTTTTATTTTTCCAGTTATTGGTTTTTTACTACTCGACATTTCTGAGTTAGCAATTAAAGCTTCAAATCGTTCCATCTTTCTTAATTTCTCTGGATCTGGAATAGCGGGAGGACTGCTTGGATCATTTTCAACTCCACGCCGAGGTCTTCCAATTCGTGGCAACTGTTGTGGGAATCTCAAAGTTTTTGATGGACTTAATGGTGGAGATTGTGGTGGATTATTAATAGGTGAACGTAATGGCAATACCAACGGAATTGGTGCGGATGGCGATCTTGGTGATAAAGGAGATGGCATTTGATGTAATACAGGCGAACTCATTTGCGAAACTGGTGGGCTAGTAGCATCCCTTACTGTTTGTTTATTAAAGATTCCACCTAGAATATTAATTCCAACTTTTTGATATTTGTTTGAAGTCAAAACTGGAGAAGGCAATGGTTGAAATGAATCCGATTCACTTTCTTCCAAAGGAATAGGACGTGGGGTGCGTGACACGGGCGATGGTGGTGAATTTGGCGGGGAATATGGTGGTTGTTTACGTTTCGACATTTCCTTACTTAAAATATGTTCAAGGGAGTTCGAACGAGCTACTAAATGAGGCGGTTTAGGTTCACAATGTGGGCTTTCATCATCCTTTTTTCGTTCTGGTGGTGATGATGAAACATCATCTTTAGATCTTCGTTGTGAAAAATAATCGCTCATTGTTGTATCTTGTGATGATTTAGTCGGTGAAGATTGGTTTTCTTTCTTACGCATTTCAACTTTTTCAGCAAGTTCTTGATATTCTATAATTCTATTCTGTTCTAAAGTTTTAGTGACAATTTCGTCACCATTCTTATTTTCTAATTTTACCCCTTCTATTTGAACATTTACATTATTGCTATTATTTGACGCTTCTTCGGCAAATCTTTTTTCCAATTTTTCTTTTCTTCGTCTCTCTCGTCTTGCTTCTCTATCTTCTACTTTGGCATTGCTACATTTTTTGGCTTTTCGTTTAATAATTGGTCTTGATATTTGGGGAGGTTGTGGTTTACTATTAACATTACCCACCATTCCACCAAACGACATCATCAAACTTTCCTCTAAAATGTGACGTCTAAATACTAATGACGCACGATTTGGATTTGGTACAATGATTGACTCGCGCTTCCTCTGAGGATTAACGCGTGATAAACGATTAGGATTGGAAGATAATACTTTTGAATTTCTTTTTGGATTCACAGAAGCTAATAAACGTGAAATATTATTATTATTATTATCATTATGATTGTTATTATTATGATTATTGTTGTTCTTGTTTTTGTTTTTGTTGTTATTATTATTCTTATCATTAATATTATGATTAGATGAAGCATTGGCTACAAGGTCTACACGTCGAGGAAGGGGAACTAAAGAGGCGTGAAGTAATTGAGGTGGTTTGGATGATCCCGGTAACCATGGGTACGTTTGGTTTTTAACTGGAAGTAAGTCAGCCTCCATATCTGTTGGATCATTAGAATGTACTGGGTTCGAAGTAGGTGCGAATTCCATATTCTTTTGAGACAATTTTTTTTTATTAACATTTCCGCCTCTTTTAACCTGCCTTCGGTTTGTTTTTGAAGGAGATCTAAAAGGGGATCGTTGTGCTAATAATCTTGGGTCAATAAATGATTGTTCATTTGGTATCATGCTCGGCGGTTGTTTACTATTCGTGTTAAAACTCTTCCCTTTGCCCCCTCTACTTTTTTGAGAACGAATCATTGAAGAACGTTTTTTCTGTTTCAACATTTTAGAATCTTCGGTTGAAATATCTTTAACGCGTGATTGTGGCAATGGTGGCTGATGCTGTGGCGTCTGCGGAAGTGAAAACTTATTGATATTTTGTTTATGTTCGTGTATGACAGGTACTGTAGCCGAAAGGTTTAAAGGTTTAGGACGTGAATTCATTGATTGATTTTTGTTAACAATAAAATTGTTATTGTTATTATTAGACCGTGTATGGATAGTTGATTCATCTTTTCCAGCAAAAGATCTCATTGAAGGATCCTCTTCATTAGGAGATAGTGTAGGACTATGGAGGATATCTACCACTTTAACAGTCGTTACCGTAATCCCTCCAAATGGTGATTGGGGTTCATTATCGGTCGAGACACGTGATTCAGGTCGACTCATAGTATTGATTGGGGAAATTGGGGGAAATGAACTCTTGGAATGAGATGAAGTGGATCGAGGTTGGTCATTCTGTTGTGATGGTTCCTGAGAAGTGGAAGGTGATGGAATTGTAAGGGGTGACGTGTTAGGCGATGAACATCTAGCAGGCTGTACGGAATCATCCACGGGGGTGTCATTATTTTGTGAATTAATATTATGATCAGGTATGTCATCATTTGAATCACAATCGAAATAATCGGAACTATTGTTATCTTGCCAATTTAATTCATAAGTGGCATATCTCTTTGCAGTATTTTTTGAAGGGGTCGTACATGATCCTTTTTGATCTTCATCCTCATCATCAGTGATCCAATGATGGGTAGGTGAAGATGATGAAGGTATGTGATCTGTGTTAGGTTGTGACATATCCTTTGAATTTTTTTGATATTGTCCGAAAACTGAACTCCACAATTGTTTGATATGCGAGCGTGGATGCGTGACCACACTTCCTAAAGAGTGAAAGGCTTGTCGAAGCCGCAAAGCGACCGATGTTCAAAGTGTACAAAAAGGATTATTAACGCGAAACTTCAATGAGTTTCGCAAAGGGGAAAGGTTTATTTTACAGCAGTTGGAGCTGTTGTGACGTTAATTTTATTTATTCAACTTTACAACGTAGGGTTCTGTTTTTAGTAAAAGAAAATTTGGTTTGAATTAAGGGCAAAAGAAAATAAATTACTTTCGTGGTATTTGTTTTTTTTGAAATAGGTTTCTCTTACGTTTCTAGACGATCATAGATTACTTGTAGGTATCTTTATAGCATACAAACAAATAATATTTGTAGTTTGTATGCGGAAATGGATATTACAAGTATGTATATGAAACGTGAAAGTAGGAAAATTTTTCTCTTTTTTTTCCCAAAGTCGCTAAGAAAAAGGATACAAAGCTTAACAAAGAAAAGAAGACGTCACGGTTTTTTATGAGACGAGGAAAAATGTAAGACAGGGAAAAGGCGGGATAACCCACTAATATTTTGGTTTTAAAAGGTGCAAAAGAAAAAAAAAAGAGGCTGCAGTTAGCGAACAAGAAAACGAATTTTTTTTTTTCTTTTTTGGGGGGTTGGGAGGGGTTTTAAATAAATATACATCATACCTTTTTTACCCAAGTTGAAAGTGAATAAAAAGAAGTTTAGGCGTAAAATTTCATGAGAAATTATTTCATAAAAACAATTTATTCTTTTTTGAGGTGGTGATACGAGATAAAAATTTTTAATAACTCGAATTTTTTTTTTTGTAAATTTTTTATTTGAAATGATCGTTACACGAATTAAATGACTTTGTCGGAATTACAGGTTCAAAAAAAAAGATTAATGGATTAATTGGGTGGTTTCACTTTTTCCTGACTGGGTGAACCTTAATGTTTTAACACAGAAACGCGCAGCGTTAATAATTAATATAGTTATATACTTGGAAAAAAAAAAAAAAAAAAAAATGGTTTTTTCGAAATTTTTTATTTCGGAGAATTTTAGTAGTGAATTTATAACGACCTACTCGCAGCTTCGAAACTTTCTTGTTTTCCACATTTGTTTAAAAGTAAATTATTTATTTTCAATTAAATACGGTTAAAAAAAACGTATATATTTATTTTATTTTATTTATTTATTTTCATTTTAAAAAAAGTTTTAAAAAGATTATATAATAGAATTGAGTAAAGTGGTGTTGTTTCATTTAAATTTAAAATGAAAGTTGTCACGTTAATCGATTTGCAATGCGGTGATCGGATTTACCGGGACGTCGATTTTGATTTTTGGCGGTAAAAAAAGGTACAAAAAACATTAATCATCTTTTTTACAAATTTTTTTTTTTTTTTTTTTTAAGAAATAAAAAAGATTTCTTGTTAAATCCTTTTCTCGTGAATCATTATTATTTGATTTGATACATATTTATTTATTAAAATGAAATCTTTTTTAATGACTTTGATAATAATGATTAAAAGAACTAAATTCGTCCGGTTCCAGTTTTTTTACACCAATCAATAAAAGGTTGAACCTTTATTTGGTGTATTATGACATTATTAAAAGAAAGAAAAAAAACAAACAAAATCAAAATAAATAAGTCAAACACTGACACCCCTGTTAAAGAAATTTTTTTTTATGTTATAACCTTTAGGGTACTCCATAAAACAAATAAACTATTTTCGATATTTCACCAATCACGTTCATCGATACTCACACATTCACTGGTTCAACAAATAAGAATCACAATACATATACATTGTCAAATGAAACCAGGTAACCCTTAAAACCATTAATTTAAAATTAGCGTTTACAATCATAAATACATCACTTTTTTTAAACCTAACCAGTTTTTAATATTAAAATTACGTAATGGTGAAATGCATTAATTAGAACTGTAATTTCCGTAACACCAAATGATATACTTATTTTATTATTAATCATTGTAAATATATAAAAAGAAATAAAATTAAGAATATCAGTTTGAAATAATGAAATTTCCTCTTTACTCTAATTTTGTATCACTCATTGTAATTCCTTCGAAACAAAATTTATGACGCCCATACCTAATAATCCAGGCATGATGTATTTATATCAGCACACTAGTTTAATACATTTAATATTTTTACCCAATCAAAATCTAACAAAATCTATTTATAAATTGTCGAATAATTTTGTAAGACATGTGAATTACCATACCCTAACGCTAATATCGTCACTTATTTAGTGGTTTATCGCTCGTTTGTTATAAAAAAATTATTTTAACGTTGGTACTGATTTAACTCTTAATTTTGGATAACCTTAAATTATCCGATATAAGACACGTAAATTCTAACTGGTTTAATAAGCAGCACATATAAAAGATGGTCTCGGATACGTTGAAATATAAATTTGGATGAAATTATTATTTATTTAAAGATTGTAATTTGCAAATAAAAAATGATCCATGTAATAATTACATAGAGTTGATATAATGTCTTTGAATATATTTAATTAAATCCTACTTAAAATTTTTAAATTACCATAGAAAAAAATTAGTGCTTATACTAAAGAATTATTGGTTATCATTATAAAGTTGTAGAAGGGTACCTGTTCATTACTGTTTCTCATTATTTTTGTCACAGAATCTCTACACCTTATTTGACTCTTTAACCCATTTCATAACTTGTTTCTTGAATACTAAAAAAAAAAAAAAAAAAAAAAAAAAGCATAAAAATCATGTTAAAAAAAGAAACGTTAACTGGGAAATAATCAAGCGAATATTTATTACCTTCTGGCTTAGCCCAGAGTTCCGCAGCTTCGTTATTTAATGGACTATCAATATTAGGTTCTAAACATGAGATACACAAATTAATGACCTTCTGTTGGAATATCATATAATCATCAAATCAAATCATTTACGTGGTAAATACCTCCAAGAAGACTTTGTAAAGAAATAAGGATACTAGTCACATTATAAATGGCCGACCAATTATCCTATGATATAGATTCCACCAATGAACGACGTTAATTAACAATTATTCCCAATTGATACGAAACGAAATAATAATGAATGGGGGTTAAAACCTTGAGGATATCTAGACAGATGTTACCGATTTCATCTATATTTGGATGATAACAGCGTGTTTGAAATTGAACACACGGGGCCGAAAATGGATAGTCGGACGGAAACTTCATGATGATCTTGTAAGTTAAACCTTCATATATCTATGTGATTTGATTTGATTTGATTTTGAAATTCATGAGAAGTAACGCGCAAATTAGAAATAAATTGATCCACCTACCGTTCCTTCTGGTCCCGTTATCGATCCGACCCAACTAAATAAATTGTCCGAGTCGGGAAAAGCCGAAACTCCGGGTGGTTGTGAAAACTATCGGATAAAGAAATTTTTTTTTTTTTTGGATAAAAAATCAACTTTTATTGTTTTATATCAGACATGCTGAACTATTACTATGTCTTAATTACCATCAATTGCTTGAGTTCACTTTTTAACCTGTTAAATGGGATGGAATGTTATTCATTTCAACAAAAAATTTTTTTGAGTATGCTTGAGATCTTATACAAAACTTTATCAAAGGAAAAATAAAAAAATAAAAATAAAGTCTACCTGTTCAATACAGAATTACTATCTTTAATAATCCTAGAATTAGACTGAGTCTTTCTGAGGCTTTCGTTGTTTGAGCTAGTAGAATGGGTCGATGTTGGCTCCATCGTTAAATTTTTTTTTTTAGCAAAGCTAAATAAATACAAAAGGTTTTTTTTTTTTAGTTATAAAATATTCTTTTTTATTTATTTTTTTTTTTTTTTTGAAAAAAAAACAAGGGAGGAAATATCCTTTACAAACTTGTTTTCCTTAAGAAGAGAGAACGCGTTATAATGAACTTATTTATATTCATTAATTGTTTGTGTATGACCTCTTATCATTGGATCATTGGAAGTCCCATCCTGTTTAGTGACCGAAACGTGTTAATAAACTTTATTCGTAAAATTAATTTTTTCAACATCTCAAATCAATATGAATTTTAGATCACGCGCATTTTCCTCCAATGACGTATTCCTTTTGGAAACTCATTAAACTCGGTCGAACGGAAAGAACAACAATAAATGAAAGTTGAAAAACTTTTATTATCCAATTATAAATAAATACGTTTATGGAAAGAATGCTGACGTGGGTTTATTTACAATGAAGTTGTTATAAATAGAAGAATGAAATAATATCAAATAAAATTACTTATGATGAAAACAATTCGATATAATAAAAAGGATCAAACTTCGATTGAGCCACGAAACTCTTTAATTATTCAAACGTATGGCACAAACAACATAAACTGTGTTGAAATTCAAATCGGCATGTATAAGGGCTTTTTTCTCGACCGTATATAACTAAATAAATTAATCCATTTGGATCAATTATTTAATAATAAATTTTCCATTGATATGCTGACATGTTATAAAGGTCTACCACCTTTTTTATATTTCCTGACTTTTGAGATGTTTTATCACTTCTAATTTATAATGTCCTATATCCTATATAGTAATAATATTTTTAGTTAATAAATTTCACAGAATGCGCAATACAGTGTAGACTTAAAATACTTGAATGCTTTGTTCCAACTCTTTTAATATTTCCTGTACCATTTGTAGCAATTCCACTAACTTTACGGTTCCTATCTCTTTGACAACAATTCTACAAAAAAGAATAAAACATTCAAATGTGATACATCAGGAGACTTATAAAAAGGTTTATAATATCAAATTTCTCATTTCTCATTGTACTAAAAAAAAACAAATAAATTCCTTTTTAGTTTAAAAAAAAAGATCGATGGCGATCACTCGATCACTTGTAATACAAAATCAAACAAAGTTTGACGCGTCAAAATATTTTCGGCAATTTCAAAGGGTCTCAGCTGAAAATGGCCGACATGTATGACCAACCTCAATCAAAACGAAGGAAACATGTTTATATGAGTCGTGGTGATGTTGGTGAAGTCTTTTTTGACGAATGGGAGGACATTGTGCTTGGACCAAAAGTTCAATTCTTACAACCTGTAGGAATAGTTTTCGAGTCTTTGCCTCAGAATGCTTACGAATCCATTAAAATTAAACCGACTGATTTTGAACTACTGCAAGAAAAGTGAGTGCTACCCGGAATTGGTCCGGAATCAGTATAAACTTTCACCATAATATTCAAGCAGTAATCATTTCAAGTATTTATTGAAGTATATTTACAATATCTATTTTAGTGTTGGAAAAACATATCTTCCGCATTCACAGGTTCCAACTTCTATTATAATAGGAAATTCTATGCCAGTTCAAATCCCCCAATTTGAAACATATCCCATTCGTAAGAAGTTGAACCTTTTTCATCTTCTTCATTTTTTTTGAATTAATTTTTAATCAAATTTTGTTTTGTCGTAATTCTCAAGATGAGAAGCTTCCGAAGAAATTAGGGCATATATTAAACGTTGGTGGATCAGTTTGGGCAATGGATTGGTGTCCAAACGTATCATCTGAAAGTAAATATATTTTATATATTTTTTTATTGATACCAAATTAATATTAAATCTAACTTTTTTTTTTAAAAAAACAAAAAAAAAAAATGTAATGAATTATTCGTAAAGGAGAGCAGTATTTAGCCATAGGAGGGTATAAATCTACTATAGATGAACACCACACAATCGGACAACGGCAAAGAGATAATTTGAATAATTCGATACAGATTTGGAAAATCGATTGTGGTTTAGATATTTCTGTCGCCGAATCGCCGCATTTAGAGATGGTTTTATGTCATGATTTTGGTTGTGCTTTTGATTTACAATGGTGTCCTTATGGAGCTTATGATAAATTGGAGGTCAGTTGAGTTCATCATATTTTATTTAAAAGCAGAAATTTTATTAACATGTCACATGAATAGGATGCGATAGATCAACAAAATATCTTTATACCGAAATTAGGTATCATTGCAATTTCTTTTGGTAATGGTAGTATTGGAATATTCGCCATTCCTAAACCTAAAAACATCAGAAAATTATTTGATTTATCACCAGACGAAACATTATTCGGTAATCGTCTTCTTTTCTTTGTCATGATGTTTACATCAAAACGAGTTTAGCACGCAATAACAGTTTTTTTTTTTAATTTAGTAAAATTTACGAATCCATTATACACCTTTTCATTGCCAAAAGTTATGTGTTGGACATTAAGTTGGGGTGGTCATAGAAAGATTGCAACCGGATGTACGAATGGTATGCAAATCATATAATAGTTCGAGTATTTTTTATTTGAAAAACAAATTTAATTTACATTATTTAAAGGTGATATTGCCATATGGAACATCGAAGAAATTTTAACAGAAAAAATTTCTCAAGGGGAAATCAGAAATTCAGAAAGTATTTAACGAACATTTAATATTTTGGAAATTTATTCTTAACCTTTCATTTTTATTCATTCGTATAATTTTTTTTTTTTTTTAAAAAAAAAAAAGTTACATCACCAATGCAATATTTTCGTGCGCATGACTCGTGTGTTCGTCAGGTATCATGGAATTCTATGCAAAATCCTAGTCACATTATGAGCTGCGGACATGATGGTCGATTACAAATTATAGACGATCGTGATCCATGGGTCAAAAATAATTTTCAACGGATCAGAGGTATTATCCTTAAGCAAATTATATTATTAATCCAATTTATCTAATTGTTCGAAATATTGAGGAGATTTCTTTATTTCTTTCATAGCATATTTAATGACAGCGTGTTGGCCAAATCACTATGGTGGTGTCTTATTCGCAGATACTGAAAATACAGTGAGATATATTCGAATGGAAGATTTAAAAAAGACTACGGGGGTTATGATGCATCATGCTATTGTTTGGGTAATTTGAAAGAAAAATAATACTTTATGAGCGAATCAAAAAAATATATATATATTTAAATATGAAAATTTAATAGAGGATTGCAGCATCATATTTTCATCCGTTTGTTGCGAGTTGTTCATCAGATGGGACAGTAAAAATGACGAATATTTGCCGTTTAAGAGATAGACATCAGGTAAAAGATGAAATTTTGCGTCATAATTTCTTGATTTCAAAAAAAAAATTTTTTTTCGTACCTTTTCTTTATAATTAGAAACCAATTCAAGTTACATTATACCGTATCGGGATTGAAGAAGATATGAAAACCATTAGGTATTGGGATAATATTAAATCCGAGGTAAGAAATTTATCACATTTATAACTTGTCATTAATGAAAAGTGTCTTATTTTTTTAAAGAATTGATTGATTCGCACAAAAAAAGGAAACGACAACCACATTCATGAACAACAAGGCATTCAGTCACTTCTTCATGCCTGAAGTTGCTATTCAAAGAGTAAGATTAGCATAATGTATTTAATGGAATCTTCGAAATATTAATACGGAACGCTGATTTATATATATATTTTTTTATTTAGGTCTCATGGAATCCAAATATCAAAGCTGGATCATGGATCGTATCAGGCGGCACATTAGGATTAGTGAGAGTTGAGTCAGCCAAACGAGACTAGAAATATATTAATATTTTTCTTTTTTTTTTTTTTCTTATTTTTATTAGCATAATATTAATTAATAATCATTATTTTTACAAATATTTAATGATAATTATTGATTTAATAATTCTTTAAATAAGACAAATAATAAATTTAACCAAATATCAGAAGGACCAGGTATACACCATCTTAGACAATCTCGACCACCGACATGATCATCAACTCTAGTTTCCATAACATTTTCTATATTCCAATAAACCCCACCAACAGCTTCAATAATTTCTTTAGCAATCATATTTTGTTTATGTATTTCTCCCCAATTATAAGGTAAATTCTCCAATTCGTAATCATTATAAGGATTAAATAAAGGTTTAATGTTTGGAACATTACAATTTGAATGTCCTATCGTAGACGATCTGAAGATTAAGAGAGTATCTGGGTTCTTCGAGCGAAGATGTTTAACTATTTGTATAAATGAGGAACGAAAGGTTGCATCATCTTGATAATGGTGTCCTTTATTAAGGATAATCACATTGTGACGAAAAACATAAAGAGTCCAAGGTTGTTCTAAAAATTTCATTTCAAGACGACCAAGATTTTCAGCAGTTTTACCAGATAATATATCATTACGAGCGTATCTCATTACCGAGGATAATTCATCATCATCAGAAGGAGAAGGGCATAAAATATGATCCTTACATGATCTCACACCATAACATTGAACAGGTCCATCGTGAAAATAATCTATTAATAAATCATGAAGTTGATGTGACAATATATCTCCTACTATTAAAATTTTTTTACCGGCTATCAAAGAACAATAATCCTTTCTATTGAAACTTGGTAAAGGGCATTCGTTGGGGGTTTTCCATTTATATTTTATTGAATTTCTAGCATTATTCCATATCTCTTCGATCGAAGAATTCTTATTTAAAGGAGTAAAATCACTATCACATTTTCCATAAAGGGGATCTTGTTTATGTATGAGGAAAGCTCTCGGTGTATCATCATAAACCCATTTCCCCTTTGTTGTAACGCATTCCATATAACTCCTAAATTTTAACAAGTCTTTACTTGTTTTAATATTTGAACCTGGAATTGAAGAATGAAAAGAGAATTTATTAAGCTTATCGGTTATTTCTATACGAGTTTCTTCTAAGGCGGTTTCTAATTCTTGTTGACGTCT